CCAGCACCCGGCGAACGAGGACGACACCAGACCGCGGGGGGCGGCGGCCGACCAGCCCGACGGGCTGGGCGCGCGCCACGGGCCGAACAACGACGGCCCGGGCCAAGCCGCACCGCCGGCAGGGCGACTCTGGGGAGGGGGGGGAGTCGCACGCGCCGGCTCGCGGCGCCGGGCATTGCAGTCGAGAGCGGGAGGAGGGCAGCGCCGTCGGCGACGAGGCGGATGGCCGAGAGGCAGCCGGTCGGGTAGTCGGCCTGCGGCGAGGCGCTCTCCGAGGTGAGAGCACGCGAGGGGCTTTTGCAGCGCGCCTCTCTGCGCTCTCCTGCCCGAGCAGCAGAGCAGCCGGCGGCGCTCCGTTGCCGCCGGCGGACCCCTCTCCTCCGCTCGTCTCGCCTCCGCCCGCCCCACCTCCGCTCGCCCCGCCGACTCCGCGCACGGCCAAGTGGGTCCAGCGGTGCAGCGCCTCGGCGGCCGTCGTCGCCTCGAGCAGCCCGTGCGAGGACCGAAGGTACTCCATCCGCACCTTCGAGATGTGGGGAGATATGGTGAGAGATCTGGCGAGATGTGGGGAAAGGTGCTCCATCCGCACCTTTGCTCGACACGCCACCCCGCCGCCGGCCGCTCCCGCCTCGGCCGCCTCTGCGCAGCCCTCCGCCTCCGCCTCGCGCTCCTCCGAGCCGCGCGGCGGCTGCAGCAGCGCGTCCACGCGGCATCGCACCACGCCGCACAGCGACTCCTCGCCTTCGCCAACCTCGACGAGCTCGTACGTGAACCCTGTTCACAGCTGCAGCCGTGAAGAGAGGCCCGACAAGGGCCGCCTCTCCGGCGTGCGGAAGCCCTTGCCGCCACGGCCCGTCCCGCCCTCACGCCCGCCGCCCTCGCCGCCCCCTCGCCGCCGCCCCTCGTCGCTCAGCCACGAACGCAGCGCGTGCGAGTAGGCGCGGCACGCCCGTGCGCGCGCCGTCGACGTGGCTGGCGGCAGCGGCTTGTCGAGGTAAGCGACCTATCGCACCAGCCGCCGGCGTGACCGGCACACGCTCGGCCAGGGCTGGGGGGAGAGCCAAGGCGCGCCACGGCGCCGCTGCTCGTCGGCCGCCGAACAGTGAGCGGAAGATCGACGGCGGCCCCTCGCGCGCCCGCCGCTATGCCGCCCAGCAGGGCGCTCACCGCGGAGGAGGCGGCGACGAAGGAGGCGCCGACCTCGCGCGCCGCCTACTTGGGAGGGGTGTCGCGGACGTGTCGCGTGCGTGTGGCGGACGTGTGAGGCCGCCGCCCTCGCGCGCCGCGCCTTCATCGCCCTCCGGTCAGACGCGACGGGCGGGGGAGGAGGCGCCGAGGAAGACGCGAGCGGCGGCGGCGGCGCGGGAGCGGCCGGCAGCAGGGGCGCCTCTGGCAGCGGGTGCGCGGCTGGCAGCGCGAGGCGCCAGTGCGGGAGACCAGCCTGCGGGGGGAGGGGTGGGGGGAGGGGTGTTGGGGGGGTGTGGGTAG